AACTGTCGACTCTTCCGATTCCAATATCGTTGTGCATCATGTCCTCCAACAGTAACAGGGATATGAGTACCATCTAATGCACCAATGAATCCTCTAAAATATGGCCAAAATCTTCTATCTGATTGCAATTTCGGATGTGGTTGCGTAAATTCATCTGATTTAGGCTTAAGTAAATCAACGGCCATACGTTCGAGAGCATCTAAAACTTCGTAAAATTTTCGACCCACGGTCTCCTGTGCATGACCAAATACCTTTCCAGCATACTTCTGCGTTATGTTTTGAGCGCAAATATTAAGAAAAATGGCCACACTTTCCTCGATGCTGATTGTATATGTTCCCTTCAAATCATAGTCGCTCTCTAACTTTTGACATAATGATATGAAGACCGGTGGATACATCCTGATCATATTGTAGCATTGTTCTTCATGACCGTGAATTAATTCATGGACATATCGTCGTCCACGTTTTTGATCTAGATTCATCAATTGTCTTGGCATGTTCTCCGAAAAAGGATCTATATATGATTCTTCAAAGAAGATGCTAGCATCATCTTCTTCATCATCTTCAATTATTCTATACAGCATCTGCATCCGATGAATATAAAAGGTTATATTAAATTAATAACATATGATCTAAAGATTTTAACATGTAAATAAATAAGCTTGAAATGATAACAAATATTTATTTGATAACAAAAAAACAAAAAAAATGTAAAATCAAGATAAAAAAATATGTATTAGATAACATAAAACCATAAAAAAAAATTATTTATATAGTAGTTCCTCAATCAATCTAAACATCTGTCCGTTTTATTCCTGCCGTGCGCTCTAGATAAGAAACGCGAGCTTCCTCATCTGGCAAAGTCAAATAAACACGAGCATGTGCCTCGTTGCTTTGGAATACATTTATTGTCGCCCAATATAAAGACGAGTTATAAATAATACCGGGTAAGGTAACCAATGAGTTAACTGCACGCTCTAATTTATCATCATGTAAACGTTCATATATTTCTGTCCGCTTCATGTAAGCTTCATTAGTTACATAATCGAACGAAACTTTTGATGTTGAACGTTTACGTGATGACGAAGAAGAGTGTGAAGATTTACCATACAACCGTTTGGACCTTTGGTTATATGGGTGAGTATGTATTGTCTCACTTATATTATCTAGCGGCACATCAGAATCATCGTCGGTGTCTTCTGTTTCTGACAGATTTTCACTTGGGTTTTCTGATTCGACATGTTGATCCACTCCTACTCCCGGATAATATCCATCATCAGTACCAATGTGCTTATTTGCAAATATTCGATCTAATATATCGATATCGGTAAACGGATGTGCTCGTAGTTTTGCAACATCTTGTATTTCCTATAAAAAAAATAGATACATATATATAAAAAATGTTAAATAAATATTTTTTTTTATTTTCAATGTGATTCGTATTCAATAACAAAGTCAAGATTGTATAGAAATTACCTTAATACGATCATTCCACCATGCATCATCCATGTTGATGGCTTGTGTATCAGGATAAAGTGCGACTCCAGTCTTCCGAATCAATTGACGATAAATATCGTATTGTTTTTTAATCGAATAATATTTATTTTAAAATTTTTTCCAGTCTAAATTATAACCCGTGGACTCTCGAAAGGTCTCGATTATTCTCATCTTACTTTCTTTTTTAAGATTTTGACTACGCCATCCAGTGCGATCCAACTCTTTCTCGTATAGTTCAAGAAAAATATTGATCAATCTATCGGTCCATTGTATCGTCACCTTAAAAAAACATTATTACATACACCAATCAATGATACAAAAAATTATTATACTATAATAAAGATATATTTATACAATATATACCTCTCTCACATATGACGATTGTCCCTTTGAATTCACCGTGTTTGCACTGTAAAAAGACATAAGTTATATTTTTCATTTCGTATATAAATAATATAAATATAATATATATATATATGTATTTAAATATAACGTATATATATGTATTTATATATAATTAGTATGTATATATATATGTATGTACATATACATATTATATATATATTCACATACGTACATCTATGTGTAAGTATATATATATATAATATTTATATTGTTCAAATACACACATATATATATATACATATATATATTGTATTTATAATGTTTCAATATATATATATATATATATATATTCAACATTAATATGTATATCTACATGTATATATATGTATATATAACTATAGATATAAGATGATTTTGAATAAAGATTTTGAATTACATACCTCAAATTTTGTTCTTTTATAAAATCTTTTTCAAACATGATGGTAAAAATGTTAAGAGTGTAGTCTTATATAGACATAGGTATTATTTGAAATTATTTTTAAAATGATGGGTATTTTTGTCTTTAGGATAATTTATATAATTATTTTTTAATAAAAAATACAAAGTCTACTACCAAATCCCTAGAATCTACAAAATATTGGTTTCTACCTTTTACGTAGTTTTCCTCAAAAAGTGGCTTAGCGGGTTTTTAGGAAAAGTAAAATAAAAAAAAAACTTGATTGAGAATTTTTTGGGTTTTTAAGCTCTAAAAACTGGGAAAACTCTTCCCATTCAAGTCCTAGAATTCTAATAGGATTAGGAAACCTAATTTGATTAGGATTCCTAGTAACCTATTCCGTGTCAAATTAGGATTTTTGGAAAGTCTATATAAGGAGAATGTCTTCTAGGATTTTATGGACATAAAAAAAAGGGAGAATCGCCGTAAAATACCTGTACTTTTCCCTGGTCTCAATTTAATATCTGTATTTTTTTAATTACTGAATAATATCTGTACAATTGGTTTTTCTCCAAATAAATCCTATACTTTTAAATTATTGGCAAAACAATATCTACCGTCAAATAACCGTCACGTAGACAAACAGAAATCCTACGTGGCGGCGAAATTCTCAACCTCTCTCCTAATCATCGCGCCATGTCATCGCCACATCAGAAATTAAATAAAAAATAAATAAAAAAATAAATTACTTAATAATAATAATTAATTAATTAATTGAAAATCATAAAATAAATAATAAATATATATATACACATACACATATATATACATATATGTATATATACATACGTATATAATTATATACATACATATATATACATATATATACATACATATAAACACACATATATATACCATATATAAATATATATATATACATACACATAAATATACATATATATGAATAGTAAAAATATAAATATACATACACATACACATATATATACACATGTACATATATATACGTATATAAATATACACATCCACACATATATATATACATATATATACATACATATCAATACACATACATATATATAAACGTACATATATATATACATACATACATACATATACATTCGCATATATATACATATACATTATACATACGCATATATATACATATATACATATGCATACACACACATATATATATACATACATATACAACACATACACATACATATATAAATAATATATATACATATACATGCTATATATATATATACATACATATAAATATATAAATGTATGTATATACATATATTGTGTATATGTGTATGTATATGTATATTTTTATTATTCATATATATGTATATTTATGTGTATGTATATATATATATTTATATATGGTATATATATGTGTGTTTATATGTATGTATATATATGTATATATATGTATGTGTATGTGTTGTATATGCATGTATATCTATATATATATGTGTATGCATATGTATATGTATATATATGTGAATATATATGTATGTATGTATATATATATATGTACGTTTATATATATGGTATGTATATATATACGTTTATATATATGTATTAATATATATATGTGTGTATTTATATGTATGTATATAAACATGTGTATATATATGTGTATGTGTATATGTGTATGTATATGTATATTTTTATTATTTATATATATGTATATTTATGTGTATGTATATATATATATATTTATATATGGTATATATATGTGTGTTTATATGTATATATATATGTATATATGTGTATGTGTATATATATATTTATTATTTATTTTATGATTTTTATTTAATTAATTAATTATTATTATTAAGTAATTTAACATATGTATATATTCATATATGTATATATATGTGTATGTATATATATATATTTATTATTTATTTTATGATTTTTATTTATTTAATTAAATATTATTATTAATTAATTTATTAATTATTTATTTTTTATTTATTTTTTATTTAATTTATGACGTGGCGATGACATGGCGCGATGATTAGGAGAGAGATTGAGAATTTCGCCGCCACGTAGGATTTCCGTTTGTCCACGTGGCGGTTATTTGACGGTAGGTATTTTTTTGCCAATAATTTAAAAATATAGTATTTATTTGGAGAAAAACCAATTGTACAGATATTATTCAGTATTTAAAAAAGTACAAGTATTAAATTGAGACTAGGGAAAAGTACAGGTATTTTACGGCGATTCTCCCTAAAAAAAAATAATACATATTTTTCAGTTTAGAATTAGATTCTAAGCTTTGAAAAAAAATAAAACCCCAAGCCTCCAAAAACCTTGTACACAAGAGAGATCGAGATCTCTGGTCCTAGTAAACAAGTTCCAAAGAGTTGGAATCCTTTCCGCCGGTGTGGATACGTGTAGAGAAGCTGTACTTTCAGCTCTTGGTGATTAAAACAGGCCCCGGCTCGATTAATACTACCAGATCTACAAATTAGAGGTAAGTATTCGAATTCCAGGTGATATACACATTCTTTCGGGTTATTGCACAACTGGTTTTGTGTGACGTTTGGCTAGGTTTATATCTTTTCTTCCACTGCATGAAACCTAT